ATAAAAACAATGTGTATCATCCCAAGTCAGGGATGATACACTGGCACTAAATAAACTCCAAGGTGGCTGTGAAAACTGCAGGGTGGCTTTACAGGGATAGTCACAGACCAAGTAAATCTCAGGCAGGCACGAGAAAACTATTCACAGGCCAAGAAGGCCTCAGGGCCCCTTCCAGAAACCTGATTACTCTGTTTACGATGACTGAGGCAGCCAAGGAGAAAGTGCCTGGCCTCAAATGGCAGGGGCTTCAATGAAAGTGAACACCTATTTCTGGGGACCCCGGAGCGGGATGGGAGAGGCTGGGACAGATACAAATCATCTCACCACCAGCAAACACAGCATGCAACTATTGGTGCAGTGTCTCATCTGTCAAAAATAAACAAGCCAGCCTGGGCAACACAGCAACACCCCGTGTCTCCAAAAATTAGCCGAGCCTGGTGGCACATGCCTGTAGTCCCAGTTACTTGGAGGCTAAGGTGGCGGGATCACTTGAGCCCAGGAGGTGGAGGTTGCAGTGAGCCATGATCACGCCACTGCACGTTAGCCTGGGTGACACAGCGAGACTCTGTCTCAATCCATCAATAACAGCAAAAAGTAAAAGAAAAGAAAATGAGAAAAAAACCCAAACAAAAAAACACATGGCAACGAAACACAGATTCCAGCAGAGGTAGGAGAAGTTTAAAAGCAGCCCAGGCTGTCCCCAGAAGGGATTGGTGGCAGTGGCAGATGGTCTTTGTGGCCCTTTTAGATTTTGTGGCAGTTCAGATATGTTCTGAAGGCTCATTTCCCTAGCTCTGTGTCACTTCGGTCTTCCCTTGCTTAAAAACAGGGAGCTCTAGAGTCAGCGACTGCTCGTCACTCCACAGACATTAGTGATCTGATCATACAGTGGCAGGGTCCTGGCTGTTCCTGGTTTTACTCAACAAAATGTGTTTCTGAAAAGATGTATGTAAGTGGAATCAGACATAAAAAATGCCAGTGCAGGACCTCCACCTTGTGTCCTGATGGGGGTGTGGGCCATGAAGTTACCTCTGTGCTCACAACCCTGCCCTGAGACCCCACTCCAGGCACTGGGAGAGGGACTGTGACCCCTGTGGAGGAAAATGGCTGAAAGGGAGATAACCAGGGAATTTCATTTTCCGTATTATTTCTTTTCTGTTTGGAGTTTCATAATAAGCATAAGTTTCATAAGCAGAAAAACAATAGAAATATATATGCAAAAAAAAAAAAATCTCACTGGAAAACTATCCTTTGGCAGCAGAGTAATCACCCCTTATCTTTGGAGGTCAGTGTTTGTAGGCAGAAAAAGAATCAATAGTTTTTCTGAGGGACTCTCCTGCTACTTAAAGGAGGTTTGCAAACAATTTTTCAGGAGTGGATTAATAATTTCTCCATTTCTCAGCTTGTCTTCAAATGTCAATCTTTTTGCATTTCAGGTTTTCCTAAAGGCAGAGAAACCTGCATTTAATTCCATTTTTTGGCAATCCCAAACTGGGGGGACCAGAATCTGACAGAAAGATGTGAGTGAACATCAAGCCACTGACAATGTAGGGATTGTCTGGGGCAGGCTTTGTCCTTGTCCCCCAGATGGCCTTGGGGAAGCTCATGTGACCAGCAAGACGTTACAGAAGTTACAGTGATAAAAACAGTCACAGGCTGCTTCTCCCCTTCCACAGGGTCTGTAGAAAAAGCCTCCAAACATCTGGGTTCATCTTGGGAGATGTGTCGGGGTGCAGAAGAACGTGGATGCCAGGTGTGGCTGCCCTCTTCATCTTGCTCCATGAGTGGCCAAGGCCAGAGAGGTCCCTGTCACCCCCAGTGCAGCCTTGGAACCTCCCAAGTGGCTTGTGGGGGAGGGGGAGGGGGGTGTGAGAGGGGCTTACTAAAGAGAAAGATCACAGCAAGGAAGAAACCCCTCAGATCCCTGCAGAGAAGCTGCAGGGCTTAGTGGTTACAAACGAGGCTTCCAGAGCTAGGCCGCCTAAGTTCAAATCCCACCACCTCCATTTATCAGCTGTGTGGCCTTATATAAGGTACTAAGTGTCTCTAAGCCTCAGTTTCCCAACTGTACAACAGGGATAATAATAGTATTTACCTCACGGGGTTGTCTAGAGGATGAAATGAGCTAATACAAAACAAAAGCGCTAAGAACATAATAAGCACTCTATAAATGTTGGCTATTGTTGTTATCATGCTACAATGTCTGGGGCTCCCTGACCCCTGCTAGCTCCCAGTTCAGAAAGCAAAATGTTTCTTGTGTTGCTTCTCACCAGGCTCAAGCCAGATAAACTCCCCATCTCCAGGTGTTTGGAGGATGCTGCATTCAGAGATTCCAGGAATTAATTAGAATCAATACACAAATCATCAGATTGCTTGTGCTTGCTCGCTGGTATGTAATTTACAAGTGCATTCATGGGAACCTCACAGCATTTCTAAGGTGGAGCAAGTGCGACTCTGGGTATTACTAGACAGATTTGTGTAAGGGAAACACTAATACCAAGACTCAGATGAAATCCTATGGCCAGTAGACAGAGCCAGCCTTGGACAGGAGGGGTTTCCCCTCTACTCTTCACAGCCACAATGGGTTAAAAGTGCTCATTACTCAAGAGCAGCCACGGTTACTTCATATGTACTTGACAGTTCCCAAATCGTTGTCCCTTATATTATCTCATTTGATCCTCACAAGGGCAGGACAACACTGTGTCTATGCCAAGCCTGGCTCCCACTGTCTGGTGCTGGCCATTGAACCAGAAGCCTGGGCTGCGGGGCTGCATGGGATGTTCTGAGATTTGAGGAATCATCAAAACAATAAATTACACAAGCTGGGTGAAAATCCAGTTGTTTACTATCTTCCAAAGGCGTTATTGTTCCCCTTAAGGAAACAGAGCCTCAGAGAAGTAAAATGACTTGCCCGAAGACACACAGCTGGTGGTTCCAGGAGTAGGACTTGAACTTAGGTCCCTAGAGCCAAGTCCATAGGAAAGGGTCTCTGGCTCAATGGGCGGCACTGGAGGGAGGGGAAGAGGCCTGGGACAGACTGCAGAATGTCCTGCCTGTGTCTCTCTGCTCCCCACCCACTCCCCCTTACAGAGGGGCTCAGCTGATGACATCTCTTCCACCCCAGGTTGGAGTCAATCCACAAGCCCTGGCCCCTGCCCACCTGACACCCAATCCAGCCTCTCCCATCGGGGTCACAGTCCCTCCCCCAGTGCCTGGAGTGGGGTCTCAGGGCAGGGTTGCGAGCAAAGAGGTACCTTCATGGCCCACACCCCCATCAGGACGCAAGGTCATGTTACCAGGAATCTGACCTCAAAGGACAGGCCTTACTGAATCTAGCCATTGCAGTCTCCTGGGACCAACCTCAAGCCGCCATTGACCTGGGCATGGCTCTGAGCAAGCAGAGCCCAGAGACAGAAACCACAAAATTCTCTTAGGCTTCCAGACAGGCAGTGTCTCCAAGTTTCTCCTATTCAACATCACAAATCAACAGACACAAATAAACAGAAGCCTGGGCTCAGGCAGGCCTCACATCTCATTACGAACCACCTTGCTTTTCCACTTACTCCCCAGAGCCTGAGAGCTGCACTTCATGGCTTGCTGGCCTGAGGTTTTGCACGCCAACACGTAGAAGGGACAGCACGTGGAGACATGCTCTTGTGAGCTTGTGTTCATTCCCAGGAGAAGAGAGAAAGAGGCTGCAGTAACTCACAGCACTAAAACAAAGGCACAGACAAAGGCACACAAACGCGTGTCCTCCAGCAGGGCTTAGACAAATGCATGTTGTTTTACAGTCAGTTTCCCTCCCACTCCCCTTTCTCCTGCCCAGGGGAGAATAAGAGAAGCCAGATGGGGGGGAGGGGGTTGGGTGGTGGAGCAAAACAACTGAAACTCCAGAGAGAAAGGGAGCTAGCTGTTAGCATTGGTGAAAAAGGACAAATGAAGGTTAGGAGCTTTGGAGGACTAAAGTGTATATTGTAGAGACAGAGCAAAACTAAAAAGAAACAAACAAACAAAAACATTATACAGCACCAACCATTTCCTCAAGAGGCCAGTAGCTGCTACTGGTACATAGTCCATTTTTTTCTAAGGCAGCGCTGAATGCTAGAAAGTCCAGGAATGCCTTCAATTTTAAGGATTTGTGTCAGCTTCTTTAGTCATGTGTTTCAGTACTAGATGAACTGGATTAAACGGCTCTTCACCTCTGTCTGGGGATTTTTTTTCTGAAGGACATAAAGCTAGATCTGCACCTCTAGACCCAGGCATAGCAGGTGATACTACAAACACTTGAGGACAACACTAACAATGGAGAAAATGTTTTCTTTTTTCTTTTTTTTGAGATGGAGTCCCACTCTGTCACCCAGGCTGGAGTGCAGCGGCGCGATCTCAGCTCACTGCAACCTCTGCCTCTCTGGTTCAAGCAATTGTTCTGCTGCAGCCTCCCAAGTAGCTGGGACTACAGGCACATACCATTCATGAACCAATCTACGGCCAGAAAGTGGATGATCTCCTTGGCTGCCTGAGTCACATGCTCATCTCACCTCTGGTGGTGTCATCTTGGAAACTGGAGAGTTTGTGATTCCCAGAGTGGAAAATTGAAAGGCACCAGGAATGAATGGGTCTGGACCTCAAAATCCTGCCAACCCTCTATTCTTTAAGTGAAAAAGATGTTAACATCCTCTCAGTCTTTGGCATGTCAGGTGCATACTGAGCTGGAAGAACACAGTGAAGGGAAAAGAAACAAGCATTTTGGGGTGATTGGCACACAGAGAGGTGTTCAAGGCAGGGTATCGTGGCTCCCACCTGTACGCCCAGCACGTTGGCCACCTGGAATTCTAGAACTTTGGGTGACCGATGCAGAAAGACCACTTGGGGCCGGGAGTTCAAGGCTGTGGTGAGCTATGATTGCACCACTGCACTGCAGCCTGGTTGTCTCAAATAAACAAATAAATAAACTAATAATCATTTTCATTAATTTCTGGAGAAAATGTTTCCATACTCACATTTGTCCCCGCGGAAGCCAAAGGAAATGTGGGACTTGACTGAGCAAAGGACCTTGCTGGAATGGGCGCATATGATGTTCCGAGATTTGAGGCATAATCTAAATGATGAATTACATAAACTAGATGAAAACCCAACACATAACGTCGAAAGTCATTATTAGGACATAAGCAGGCATAGAAAACGGAACATTTCCCCTTCACATATTATTGGTGTTCGGCATGACTTTACCTCTGGACATGTTGATAATCAGCAAAGCTTTATGTCCAAAGTATCTCAGAGAATACCAGTGGGCCCAGAATACATAAGAAGGGGACATCAAGGAAGTCCTCGTCATTAAAGACAGGACGTAATATGCCTGTGGGAAGCCCATCTCTGCTTCAGGCTGCGGACCTGCAGGGCCTTGCTCACCTTCACTCCCAGCAGGGTGATAAACAGCTGTGCTGTTAGGAGAAGCACACAGTGTTCCCTCTGCCGCACTAAGAATACACCGGATACCAGCACTGGAGAGGGCGAAAAAGGGAAACCAGCTTCTCAATAAGTTAAACAAAGAATTAGCATATGACCCAGAAATTCCACTCCTAGCTACATACCCCCAAATAGCTGAAAACAGGTGTTCAAACAAAAACTGTACCCAAATGTTCCTAGCAGCACTATTCACAATAGTCAAAAGGTGGAAACAATCCAAATGCTGTCCATCAAAAGATGAATGGTTAAACAAGAATGTGATATATACATGTAATGGAATATTGTTCAGCCGTAGAAAGGTTGTACATATTACAACATGGATGGATACACCTTGAAAATGTTATGCCAAGTAAAAAAAAACGCCAGTCACAAAAGACCACATATCATATGATTCCAATTACAGGAATGTCCAGAAAAGGCAAATCCACAAGAGACAGAAAGCAGATGGGTGGTTGCCAGGGGCTGGCTTAGGGCGAATGGGGAGTGGTTGCTTAATGAGCATGGGCTTTCCTTTTGGAATATGGAAAATGTTCGGGAACTAGAGAGTGGTAACACTTGCACAATCTTGTGGATGTGCTAAATGCCACTGAATTATATACTTCAAAATATTTTAAATAGTGAATCCTATGTGAACTTACTACAGTGAAAAAAATGAAAGCCAGAAAAGGGAGGCGTGCGTACACACACACACACACACACACACACACACACACACAGACACACACACACACACATCCCTCTCTTCCCTCCTTGCCCCGGCGTTTTCTGCTCAACATTTACCACCAGGGATGCTGTAATTTACTTGTTGATTTTGTTTATCATCTCTCTAGCCCCTATTAAGCATAACTCCTTGAAGGGCAGGAACTTTGCCTATTTTGGTCTCTGCTACCGCCCCCCCTCAAAACAGCATGTGACACACGGTAAGTGCTCAATGAATATGTGTTGAGCCTGTGCATGGGCCTATTCTGAACAGCACTTACTTTTCAGAGAAGACCAGGCATTTCTGAGCGTGCAGCTTCCCTTTCACATGCAGCTCCCAGTCCTAGGTCAGAAGGAAAGAAAAGTCACCAAAGTAGACCTGAGGCCATGGGAGGGCAGAGGAGGAGCACAGAGTCACCGGCCAGGCAGGGAGCACAGAGTGCCCAGAGGCCGGACCACCTGCGGACACATCCCCCCACCTGCCGCCTCTCCCTCCTCGGCTCCTCACGCTGTTTCTGCCTCCCCATCTAGCCTTTGCTCCATCAGCCCCTCATCCGCACATCTCATGCCCATCTTGAACAGGAGTTGGATTCCTGGACTCACAAGTTGGATTCCCTGTACACCCTCTCAATGCACCCACCACCCACCACCCACCTTCCACCCCTTCTCCTTTACCCCAGGAAGACCCCACCTATTTCATAGGGAGAATCTGGCAGGTAGACTCACAGTGACTTATAAAACCTTAGAAAAGGTTCATGAGAGATAAAATCTTTGGGTACCTCCCAGTGTCAGCTAGTTCCCTCCCAAGACTGGAGGACAGAGGGCATGTCCCATCTGAGCCACAGGGATGCACTTGGATGATGTGACCCAGACAGAGGTGCACAACACGCTGCGGTGTGACCCACACTCTGCAAGGACATTATTATGCTTTTGGACAGGATGGGAGATGGGAGGCGGGCAGCCCCATGCTTAAGTGGTGCAGGTTCTGGAAGGGTCAGGCCCACGTTGGAATCTCCACTCCGACACTTTCAAGCTGGGGAGGTGATACGGGGAGGGGCTGAGAAAGTCATTTCATCTCTCTGGGCCTCAGTTTTCTCATCTGTAAAATGAAAATCATAATAGTATCTACCTCACATGAGTTACTGCTGGCACACAGAAAGTGTTTAATATATGGTAATTGGTATAATTTTTATCACTTCAAAATATTTCACTGCATCTGCAATACGTTTTTTGGGGAAAATTATACTATCATACACCTCTGTGTGCAGCAACTCAAAGCATCTTCCAACCACCGGGAAGGTGTCACGAGGCTCTATCTCCATTCTGCAGATGGGGAAGCCAAGGCTCTCTATAATAATTTGTCTAGGTTCCAAGTGAGAAGTCATCTGTTCCCCGATCCAAAATTCTGCTCTTTTTCCTTTCTAACTCACTACAGTATGGGTACTCAAGGGGCAGTAGCTTCCAAGCATACCACGGCAGAAAAGCCCTCCACGAGAAGGCAGGAAACTCAAGTTCCTGAGCCCCGTCTCTGCAACCCAGGTGGTGGGATCCTTTGCTCCCCCACTCAGCCTCAGCTTTCTCATCTATAAAAAGTGTGTAAGGATCTCTGACTCACCTTCAAGCAAGGGACCGGTCCTGAAACATTTCTGAAATTCCTTTGGGTCCTAATTTCTATGATTTTAATCAAGAATACTGATGGCAAAATTCTGTTATCCCAATGCAACCGTTCCTTGCCCACTGGCAGCATGAGTTGGGTCGTGGGGAAAAGCCTGCCGGGCTCCCAGCTGCGGCTCCCAGCCTGTCTTGGACAACTCACCTTCAAATCAAACACCTTCTTGTCACAGATGCTACAGATATGCGGCAAGTGGAGGGGGGCCACACCGTGAAAGTCGTTCAGCTCTTGAGCCTGCAGGGGCCTCGCAGACAGCAAGGCCTGTTCCTCCTTGGCCCTCCGCCCAGCACTGATAAAACCCTGTTTGCTGTTGTTAAGCCGACCCCCGAAGGAAGGAGTCGTCCTGTCTGAGGTTGGTTCCTCGGGGTCATACAGCTCATAGGGCTGGCTGCGGGGTGGAGGCCACACGGGACCTGCTGTAAGATCAGGCTTGCTCTGGCCCGAGAATCCATGGGGGCTCTCCCATTGACTGTTTGTGCCCTGCAGCAATGGCCCGACCTCGCTTTTCAGGCCCCCAGCCTGCTCAGCTGGAAATCCACCAGCCACATGGGACCCTTGGGAGTTGGGTCCATAAAAATCTTTGGAAAAGGCAGCTTGACCATCTTGCCCTGTGTGACCGTAGTGCCCTTCATAAGTCATACCACCCGAGGTTGAGGCTGAGGCTGGCAGGAAGCTGGGCTGACCATCTGTTTCAGGGCCATACGTCTGGCCAGACCCAGCTTTGCCATATTCATAGAATCCTGCTGTCGCCGGAGCAGGCCCGGTCTTCCCAATGCCCAAGATGACTGCTGGCTGGCCAGGGGTCTGAGGCATCACCCCAGTGAAAGGATGCATCACCACAGCATTGGGAGGCTGGCTGGGAAGGTTCATGGAGGGTCCTGGGCCTCGTGTCTGGCTGGGGGGTGAAAAGGCAATTGCATTAGAGGGAAACCGGGTACTGGGTATAGTTGCAGCATGTTGGGGCACCCCAGCATGGCCATGAGGGGCACTGATCACAGACGGATGCCTCAGTTGATTGAAGAGAGGCTGGGACATGGCCACTTTGGAGAGGACTTGGTTCAGGACTGTGGCAGCCGCAGTGTTGTTGGTGACAGCTGTCTGTGCCAGCTTCAGCCGGTGGAGGGTGAGCTGGGCCTGCAGTTGAGCCAGTTGGAGGCTGGCAGGTGAAGGAAGCAGAGGGTTCGGGTTACTGACCGAGAATGGGTTCTTGTCCAGGAGCTTGGCAGCACTGTGGGAAGACAGAGGTCTAGATGCACAGCTGGTTTTCAACGAGGGGGGCAAGGGACTGTTCTTCATTATCTGTGCTCCCCCCTCCCACATAAACAAGACCTTCCCATACAGGTCCCACATACAAGTGAATCTGCAAAACCTGTGCTCACATTTTTTTAAAAAACTCCAACAGAAAAATGTTCAATCTCACTGGTAAGTAGAAACATAAACTAAAACCATTCAAAACAAATATTTGCCTAGCAAAATAGCAATTTTTAAAAATGGCGCTCGGTGTTGGAGAGAGTGGACTAGGCACAATGTCGACGATAAGCAACTCATACAGCTTTGTTAAAGGATCATCTGATAAAACGCATTTCTTAAGCCATAGTCTTTGGCCCTAGAATTCAATACGATAACTTTCAACTGAGAAAATGAGCTCAAATGCAGACAAAAATTGATACCCAAAGATGCTCAATGCTATATTATTTAAGAGTTCAAAGTTGAAAATTACAAAAATCCAACAACAGGGAGATGGGATTTGAGCTGAGGAAATTATAATACAGCAACACAATAAAATATTAAGTAATGATTTACTATTGATGTTTTCATTTCTACTTTATTATGCAACATTTAGGACATTCAAAAAAGGGTACCCAGCACCAAGCTTAAGATGGAAAACATTCCAACACCATAAATCTCCCTTGGTTACCAGCTCTCCCCACCTCACCCTTCCCCATCATTACCAATGGTAAACACTATCTTGAATTTGCCAAGGTCTCTGTTACAAAAAACAAAAACCATTAAAGTGGTTTAATGACATGAGAAGATCTATATGCTCTAACGTTAAGTGAAAAGTGCAGGCTTCACAATTGCATACAGAATGAATAGTGTTTACATTTTTGCCAAACACATTTTCATCCTTGTCTTCATTTCACATCCAAAAGCAACATGAATTGTCTTCCTGTGTGAATACAGGAACAAACAAATTCAGCATCTCCTATACTCTCACAACACGAATCATTTCTGACACTAGATGTGTAGGAGGTTTTGTCCACACACCAGGCAAGCAACCAGTTCTGCAGTGGACCCCAGCTGGGTGTCCTCCAATTCAATTCTGATACCATCTACCTGGAGAAAGCGTCAGATCCCACAGATTGACAGCTCAGCCCCATAACACTGTCCCCCAACTTGGGATGTCAATCACAAGCCCCAGGTTGTTTTACTCGTACTTCCGATCAACTGGCTATAAATTAGAGTTAGACTAATTTGCTAGAGAGGCTCCCAGAACTCAGGGAGACACTTAGTCTTATTGGCTTATTCGAAAGGACATTTGAAAAGGATACCAATGAACACCAGATGGAAGAGGTGCACAGGGCAAAGGATGTGGGAAGGGGCGCAGAGCTCCCCTGTCCTCCTGGGGACTCCCCTCTCCCTCCACACATCCCAGTCCTTCCTGGGTTTTTATGGAGGTTTCATTACACAGGCATAATTGATTAAATTATTGGTCATTGGTGATCAACTCTACCTTCAGCTCCTCTCCCCTTCCCCGAGATTAGGGGTGGGGCTAAAAGTCCCAACCCTTCAATCCTGCCACGGTCTTTCCGGTAACCAGACCCCATCCTAAAGAGGCCCTAAGGGACTGCCAGACATTTGTCAACCCATTAGCATACAAAAAGATAGTTACATGATTCCAAAGACTTTTGAAGTTGTATGCTAGGAAACCTGATGAAGACCAAATATCACAATATCACAGTTTCCTTCAACTGAGCTCTCAAACCCAACTAACATAAGGAATCACCAAAAAATCACAAGTCAAAAAATCTGAATCTGAGGTAGTGGCAGTGGTAGACTCTCACTGAATCTTACTGTAGAAAGGGTGTCCGTCTGACATGTGTCTTTCATGTGACCTATCCAAAACTCAGCATGCATGGTCTGGAAACTGGACAGAATTTCCCAGAACGTCTGGGATATGTGGTTACCACAGGCAGGGCTCTTTGGTTAAGACCATATTTTCTAGGTTTTAAATTCCCCTCTGAAAAGTGAGTGTCATCAGGAAATATGTTCAGAATGTTGATGAACTGGAATTCTAGGACATTTGAATGGGAAGAAGGGGACTGGAAAATTGGAAATTGGGGTTGCCATAGATAATTCATGCTGTACAGTAAGCATGCTTAGGCAGCGCGGGGTAGACGCGGCATAACGGGGACACCTTAGTCTCTGCTATCACAGGCCCTGTTCAGTAAAAATCCAATGACAATGAAACAAAAATGAGAGAAGCTCGGGGATAGCTCAGGTGGGGAGGAAAAGGGAGACATGGCAAGCGACATGGGCTGCCACACTGTCTTATTGGAAGGGAGTTCCCAGAACATCAGGCATACTCACATTTCAGTGTAAGTACAAAGCACATTCGAGAGCCAGATAAAAATGCCTTTGTTATTCTCTCTCATTTGCATGACAAATAAAAAATTGCCTATAAGTTGTTAAAAAGTGACACCACCTTCCCCAGCCAGCAGCCCTGCTATGTTCCAAGGACAAAACAGGCTGGCACATTTCAAAATACGGGGGCAGGGGGCGCTCAAGGTTAAAGGTAGGTACAGCCTTGTTCTCCTTTGGGGAGTCGTGCTGGCTGCAAAGGAGCCTTGGGGTCCCTGGGTGGCCAGCACAAATTCAACAGCAGCAGAATGGGGACGCACCAATGTCTATGTCGGCACGAATACGGAAGGAAGAGGAGGATGGATGGTCAAGAGTCTGATGATAGATTTCGACTTGTGTAGTATTAAGTAGCTGAGCTTTAGAAGAGCAATTAAGCTTAACTCAAAACCCTGCCCACACAGGGCCAACTCTTCCTCCCAGGTTTGTCTATCATGCAGCCTGTTCTTGCTAACAAGGCGATAATGAGGTGCCAAGTTGGTTTCCATGACCAGAGTAAGACAAGGTTGGTTTTGTTTTTCCCAGAGAAGTCAGCTGTATTTTCTAAAATTGCATTCTGGGCCGGAGGGAGCTCTGAGTAGAGATTCCCCTCACCCCTGAAAGGACACGTGAGAAAGAGCTATCTGTCCAACTAGGAAAGCCAGCCACGCTGGGTATTTGCAGGTCAGCCATGGGAAATCTGTCCTTTTAAAAGTATGACCTAGGTTACAGAAGTTAACCCATTCAGATTCTGCACAAAATAAGAAAACTAACCAGGTCTTCTTCCTAATTTTTACTTTGGCTAGCAAATTTTCATTGTCCCCAACTTTAGTCAACTTTGAGTAGAAGAAATTTCACTTGAATCATCAGAGCTGAGCACCTATTTTGATCCAAACACCTAGAAGAAAAAATATATCATACTATTTTTTAAGCCCTAAAATTCTTAGCTTGCAATAGTTAATAAACTGAAATTCAGGTGCATACAGTGATCATATTTCTTTTTTTTTTTTTTAAGACAGAGTTTTGCTCTTGTTACCCAGGCTGGAGTGCAATGGCGCTATCTTGGCTCACCACAACCTCCGCCTCCTGGATTCAGGCAATTCTCCTGCCTCAGCCTCCTGAGTAGCGGGGATTGCAGGCACATGCTACCATGCCCAGCTAATTTTTTGTCTTTTTAGTAGAGACGGGGTTTCACCATGTTGACCAGGATGGTCTCGATCTCTTGACCTCGTGATCCACCCGCCTCAGCCTCCCAAAGTGCTGGGATTACAGGTGTGAGCCACCACGCCTGGCCCCTTAGTGATCATATTTCTGAACCAAAAATTGGGGTGCATGATCTAATGCCCCTGGGGGCTTGGCCTGATGTCCCTGCTGTCTTCCCACTCCTTGGTTTGTCACTTTTATATCACTTAGCACATCCTGCACGTTGGGTTAAAAATAATTGCGTGTGTGCCTTTCTACTCCATTAGACATAAGTTCCACAAGAGAACGGAGTATGCCTTGGAGAATCTTGTATTTCCTCAGCACACTGCTTCCCACTTAGTGGGCACAAAGTAATTGCCATAAACAAAATGAAGAAGGAAGATAATGGGTATGGCTCATAAGAACCTGGTGGCTTTGAGGTGACATGGAAACCTCTTTTATGAGTGCACAATTCTGTGGATAAAGACCCACAAACAGCTCAGAAAGGACAATCTAAATACACCTAAGAGGCAAATAAATTTTGCTGTTGTAAATAACTAAACCTACAAGCAGGTAACAAAGTCACCTTCCTAAGGGACTATCTACAATTCCCCACTCCAATGCAGGAGCTTCAGTACACTCTTTCTCTAAGTCCAGGTTTTGAAATTGAGTGGATAATCCCTGCAGTAGGCTGAATAATGATCCCCTGAAAATCTTCTCATTCTAACCCACAGAGGCTGTGAATATGTTACCTTACATGGTAAAAGGGGACTTTGTAGATGTGATTGAATTAAATATCTTGAGATGGGAAGATTATCTGAATTTAATTGGGTATGCCCAATGTAATCACAGGAGTCCTTCTAAGACGGCGGCAGGAGGATCAGAGTTGATGAGAAGATATAAGGATGGAAACAGAAGTCAGAGAGGAGAGAAGATGCTTTGCTGCTGGCTTTGAAGATGGAGGAAGGGGCCATGAGCCAAAGAAATGGAGGCCACCTCTTAGAAACCAGGAAAGACAAGGAAAAAGATTGTCCCTTAGAGCCTCCAGAAGGAACTAACACATTCACTGTAGTCCAGTGAGGCTGGTTTTGGACTTCTGGCCACCAGAACTGTAAGATAATATATTTATGTTGTTATAAGCCATGAAATTTGTGGCAATTTGTTACAGCAGCAATAGAAAACCAACACAATTCCCAAAACAATTAGATGCCAAAGTGGCTTCGGCTAGAAAGGCGGTGGTAAGTGTGGGGGCTGATTGGATCTTGCTGGTATGAGTTGATCCCCCCAGGGTACAGACCATATGACCAAACATCCAAAACCCTTTGGGAATTTAGTCAAGGGCCAATTCTGCACAAATAGGGGCCTTTGCAATGTGTCTCAGACCTGGCCAGTCTAAGAACCACATCCCCCTGGCCACAGTAATTGGCT